GGTGTTGCAGGTGTTTCAGGTGTTTCAGGTGTTGCAGGTGTTGCAGGTGTTGCAGGTGTTGCAGGTGTTGCAGGTGTTGCAGGTGTTGCAGGTGTTTCAGGTGTTGCAGGTGTTTCAGGTGTTGCAGGTATTTCAGGTGTTTCAGGTGTTGCAGGGATCACTGGAGTGTCGAGGCAGTCAGCTTCTTGGTGTTTTACCTCTGAAGGAGTTGTTTACCAGCTGCACCCTGACCTGACTCCTACAGGACACAAGTTAAAGAGAACAGACAGTCGACACTCTTTAACAAAGGTTTTGTGAGGCTCTTTTTACACATTATTGAAGTGAAAATGTTCTTCGCTGTTTGAAAAGTTGCAGATAAAACACCAGGTTTAGCAGAAAAATAAAGATCACAGATGACTCGTGTTGTTCTGGTACAATCTAAATTTTAATTCTACTTAGTCGACGATGTTTCAAATGTAAAAAGGATTGAGTGTGTAGCCTAACCATACAATATTTAAAGCACATAAATACTTTGAACGATTAAAATAAAATCATAAACCTTCACAACCAAAGACTGCCAATCAATCAATCAGTTTGATTGATTGAGAAATTGATTGTGGAATAAGCTGCTGCTGTTTGAACCTACTCATCCATGAAGTGGACAGTATTTGTCTTTAAGTTCAGGTTTCTTATTGTCTTCAGTCTGTTGGAGCGTTGACTGTGGTGGAGAGCACAGGAGGTGTTGATGAAGAGGAGGAGGTGACGGTGGACACTGATGATGATGACGACGATGAAGATTTGGAGGTGATCCAGCCTAATGAGCAGTGGCAGACAGTCCGACCAGGTAAAGCTCCTTCTGTTTCCTGAGTTTCTGTAGTTATTATTTCCTCTGAGTCAGGGAGACCTGGTGTACTCTGGAGACCTGCAGCCTTGGCTACAAATGTATTCTCCTCCACTTTGATGTTCTTTAAGGAACAGAGTTTAATATCCAGCGACATCTAGTGGTTGAGTTTCCTTACTGCAACAAACTGTAAAATTACTCGACAACCCTCTCCTTCCAAACACAGTCTGTAGGGTGGCCCTCAGGGGTCATAAATCTGTAATACTCCTGAAAGTCATGTTTAGCAGCTT